TGTGTGTGTGTGTGTGTGTGTGTGTGTGTGTGTGTGTGTGTGTGTGTAGAGAGGCTGGGTGTTTGGGGGGTGCGAGGGTGTTGGAGTTTTCCAGCTGTTCTTTGAGAGGAAGTGAAACCCTGACTCCACATTAAGAGGCAAGCAAAGCCGGATCCTGTGGGCATTGTCTCTGTGCCTAGACTCCAGCTCTGCCCAGAGACAGGCACCAGGCAGTCCTCCTCCTGCTCCAATGGGAGGCCCTGGGAGCTGGACCTTCTGTAACTTAGCTCTTCTGGAACTTCTGTCCTACACATGCCTCTTTGAACTATCCCAGGGACCATCTTCTCTCTCCTGTTGGAATAGGCTTGAGGTTGTATGCAAAAACAGAAGGAAAGGAGTGAAGGGCTGTCCTCACCTTGCTTTGATATGTCCAGTACAAGTAATAGCCATTGGGATCCACTCGAAGGATGACCGGAGATGCCACTGAAGTCTCCTGTAGAAAAAGGAGTTCAGGTCTACAGTCAGGCACCCATCTTCCTCCCTCCCCTCCCCGTCCCCATTTTATCCTTCTCCCCTTCTCTCTTCCTTAGGCCAAGCTGAATTGTTTCAAGGCACCACAAGGTTTGTTCTTGGCTCCCGCTCTCTCATAAAAAGATAATCCTTTTCCTTGCCAAGGTAAACCCCTCTCTAAGCACCCTTCATCCCATCCTGTCTTCTCTAACAAAATCAACCCTACTTTATCTCTTCAGATGAGAGATTCTCTCTTCTCATCTAATCTCCTTATCTACTGGCTCTTTCCCTGCTATCCATAAACACTTCTATATCTCTCTCACCCCTGAAAAACATCACTTGATCTGACCATACCCTCTCGCTATAGTACTATATCTCTCCTCCTTTTTTCAGCTAAACTCACTGAGAAAGCTGTCTACATCCGCACCTCTTATTTTTGTCTTCTAACTCACTTCTAATCCCTGCAATTTGGTTTTGGACTTCATCATTCACCTGAGTTCTTTCCAGAGTTACTAGTGATCTCCTAATTGCCATATCTCATGTCACTTTTCTCAAAAGATCCTCATCCGTCTTGGTCTCTCTGCAGCCCTTGACACTGTCGATAACCTTTTGCTGTTAGATCCTCTCTCCCCTAAGCATTACCCAGGCATCCACCCCAACTTCACAAGCAGAATTCCTTTTCCCGTCCCCACTCCTCAGCATCCCCAAACCCTGCTCCCAGATCAACTCTTGTCTGTGGCAGGTGCCCCTTAGCAGGTGGGCTCTGCACTCCAGAGTAGTCATTAATGAGTAAGAGCCCTCCCCCATACCCTTTTCCTTTGGGGTGGAAAAGAATGAGTTGCAAAGGACAAGCAGGCATGAAGAGTTTGTGAAATGCATTGTGAGTACCACACTTACTATCTTTCCCAAAACACATATCGCTCTCCTGAATGTCCATATTTTGATCCAGGATAGTCATACTTCTAATCTCCCAGGTTAGCAACCCCTCACTGTCACTCTTGACTCCTCATTCACCACCCCCCATTCCCCATCAGGCCCAAATCTATTACAGTAGCCTCCTGATTGGTCTCCTTGCCTCCAGGCATCCCCCAGCTCTAGCCCATCCTCCACCAAGAAGCTAAATTTATATTCCCAAATCTCGAGTCTGGCCAAGCCAGTCTCCTACTCGACAAACCCCCATAGGTCCCTATTGATTTGATAATTAAATATGATTTCACCTTTATCTCATCCTTTTTAATTCCTATTTTTGTGTAAGTTTTATAATGTACATGATTATTAGTACTATAGAACACATATAGGAATATGGATAGGAATCAGACCTGGGATTTCATTGATCTAATCGCAAATCTGCATCATTGGTAGGCGTTTCCTCATCTGGGGAATGATGAATGAGGAACTTTCCTCTACCAGTGCAGATTTGCAACTCCTCTGTGACTTATGATCCTAGAGTGCTTCCTGGGACACAGAGAGGTAAAATGCCCAGGGTCACACAGCTAGTATATGTCAGGCACTCAAACTCAGGTCTTCCTGGCTCCAAAGATAGCTCTTTATCCATTATGTCATGCTGTAAATGCATATAATTTAGAAATAAGAAATAAATATATAAAATATAACGTTATATATAATGTTATATAATATAAATTATATATAATACTATATATTGTATACAAATATATAATATTATATACAGCATTGTATATAATATATACAGGTATATATAAAATACACAGCATTGTATATTATATGTAAATATATAATTTATAAATAGGCAAATAAAAATTTTGTGTCTGCATGCACAATTTTTTTAACTGACAGGGATATGTCCTCAAAAAGGTTGGAAACCACTGGAATAAAGTCCAAACCCACAACTTGACACACATAATCCTCTTCAGTCTTGCCCCTATTTTTCTAACCCTATCTCCCATGATAGGGAATGGTCCTAGCTTGGCCCCTCTTGGGCCATTTCAATGTCAAACAAATATGCCACAGACACTCCCACCTCCACATCTTTGCTTGTATTATGCTCATATAATAGACAGACACAGATATATGTTTATATATATACAAATACACATGTGTGTATACACACACACATACACACACACACATTTCAGTTTCCTCAACTGTAAAATGGGGATAATAATGCACCTACCTTCTATTGCTGTGAGGATCAAATGAGATAATAATTGTAAAGCACTTAGCACAGTGCCTGGCATATAGCAAGCACTATATAAATATCAGCTATTATCATCATTATTATGTATGTATATATATGTATCCATGTATCTAGAACACTTATGACATATACACATATATAGAACACTTCTAAGTTTGAAAAAAAAATTCACAGCCTTTGTAAATTCACAGGTATTACAGGTATTACTACTCCCATTTACAGATACAGAAATGAAGCCCTAGCTAGGCTAGTGACTTTTCTAGAGTCATACAGCTAGTAGGCGCTGTGGAGCTCGGTCAGACATCTACACCAAGATCATCCATTGCCTCCTGAGCCATCTCCAGTCCTCTTGACTTTTGTCTTGCCAGGAGGCTGATGACTTTGGGTAACTCTTCCTCTCTCAAATCCAGTTCATTTGAAACTTAAGATGTCACCCATGACATCATTGGTCCTCTTTGAAAATGAAGGTCAAACGACAACCACAACAACAGCTAGTAGGCGTTGAAGGTGGGCTTTGAACTGAGGTCTTCCTGCCTCCAAGTCCAGCATTCAATTTGCTATACACCATCCTGCAGTTTTCTAAGCCCCATTCTTTCTTCAAGGTCCAGTTCCAGTTCCACCTCCTCTCTGAAATATTCCTTGACCATCCCAGCCTGGGGAGACCTTTCCCTCGTCTGAAGTCTTCTAGTACCCTATAAAAGACCATGTCTTCCCCCCCATCCAATAAACTCCAGTGCCTCCCTATTACCTCCAGGATCAAATGTAAAATTCTCTATTTGGCAGTGATAGCCCCTCATAATCTGACTCCTTTCTACTGAGAGAAACTATTATCATACTATTATATTAATAACCAATTATTAAATTGGGATCCAAGCTTCTTTCTTCTATTTCCTCATTAAGGCCTAGTTCTTTCAATGTTAGTCTCTGAAGGACATTACTGATTGATAAGATTATTTCTAGCCTTCAAGGAACATGCTCTTCAGCCTTGGACAGGACCCCACTCAATTAGGAGACCTAACTTCTGTTTAGAGTATAAACAGAATCCAATCTGGATGAGTTCTTATCATGGGGAAAGGAACCCCTGTCCTTGTACCCCTCCATTAGAGTTTAGGGTGACCCAGCTCATGAAGGAGAAAACTAACCAGAGAGGTCCAGATGGAGATGGATTCCTCTGTCTAGATTGCTGGAGGCTACTGAGTCTTATGATCAAGCCACTTTCTCAGCAGGAAGAGCTAAAGCCCACCTACTTATTAAATGTCCAGCAATCAGGGTTGATTTTCACTTGTCAAGGGCATTCCTTTCCAGAAGGCTATTTCAGGTCTCCAGTGGGGGTCTTTGGTTACTAAGAGAAACCACTGACCATCAATTTATCGATTCCTGGCTAGCCTAATGAACAAATTGCTAATTACTCAGAAGATCTGTCTCTGGGGGTCTTTTATTCATCTCACTACCTTTACAGTCTTTTATATCTCACTCCCCTCCACACACTCTGTGAGCCCATGTAACTGGCCTTTTTTGCTGTCCCACTCACAAATGATGCTCCGTTTCCTCACTCAGGGCATTTTCACTGGTTGTCTCCCATGCCTGTGATCTGATTCTTCCACATCTCTACCCCCAGCTTTCCTGATTTCCTTTACTTTCTACAAACAGCCTTTTCTGATCCCCTAGTACCTTCCCTCAGAAATATTCTCCAATGTATCCTGTCTATATCTTGTTGGTATATGGTTGTTTGCATGCTGTCTCCCCCCATAGCCAGTGAGTTCCTTTAGAACAAAAGCTTTCTAGGAGAGCTTTTACCTTTTTTTGCATCCCCAGAGCTTAACACAATACCTGGCACATAGTAGGTGCTTAATAAATGCTTCTTGACTTGACTTTGTGTGCTATAACCTATTTTCAAAGTGATGAGGGAAGCTGATTGTATCTCACACTTTGGGCAAAGTGGCAAAAATAAAGATTTCAGCTTTGTTGTAAGAGAAAACTTCCTAACAATTCGAGCTGTCCAAAAGTGGAATGTCCAAAAGTGAACTCCCTTGGACAAGAGTGAATTCCCAGCCCCCTTCACTAGAGGTCTGGATGGTCATTTGTTGGGGACACTGTAGTGGGGATTCCTGTTCAGGTATGTGTTGGACCAGAGGACTACAAGGTCCCTTCTAATTCTGAGACCCTGTGATACTTAAATTCATTTTATTTCCTACATAAAACCATTTTGGAGGAAAGGGGTAGAGGGAAGGGAAAAGTTGGGCAAATGACTAATACTGTATGTGGGGCAACAAAAGCCTGTTAGTATTCAGGAGGCTTTCTGATTAGCTGAAAGTAAGCCTGGGATTGAGGGACAGGCAAATGAGCTTGAGCCAGAATATCCCAGGACAAAAAATGGCTAACTTAATGCAACAAATAAATACTCACAAAAAAATATAAAATACATAAACAGAACAAGGAATTTTTATTTTTGTTGTTGTTTAGTCATGTCTGACTCTTCGTGACCCCATTTGGGATTTTCTTGGCAAAGATACTGGAGTGGTTTGCCATTTCCTTCTCCAGCTCTTTTTACAGATGAGGAAACTGAGACAAACAGGGTTAAGTGACTTTCTCAGGGTCACACAGCTAGTAAGTACCTGAGGTTGGATTTAAACTCATGAAGGATGAGTTTTCCTGACTCCAAGCCCAGTGTACTACCTAGTGTAGATTAATCCAATCTCAGAAAAAGTAATTGAACAAGCTATGAATGAACTCCCAACAAGAAAACTCAGGTTCAGATGGATTTACCAACAAATTCTATCAATCATTCCAAAAACAGCTAACCCTGACACTACGTGAATTGTTTCAAAAATAGAAAAAAAAGACAAACTTTCTATGAAACAATGTGATACTAATACCTAATCCAGGAGAATTAAAACCATATAGACCAATATTTCTAATGAATATTGATATAAAAATATGAAATAAAACATTAACCAAAAGGCTACCATCAGTGAATGATCTTTTCACAAGATAATTCACTATGACTATGTTAGAATTCAAGGTTGGTTCAACATTAAGAAAATGACAGATATAATAGACCATATTAATAACAAAAACAATAAGTACAGTAAAGCTGTTGACAAAATATAACAGGTAGTTTTGTTAAAAACACTAGAAAGCATAAGAACAAATGAAGCTTTCCTTAATATGATTTTTAAAAAAACCTATGGAAAACAAACAAACAAACAAACAAAAAACTAGCTTTACCTATAATGGAAAAATAATAGAGGCCTTTCCAATATGATCTAGGATAAGGTAAGGCTGTCCACTGCCATCACTATTATTTTAAAAAGTTCTGAACATTCATAGCAATAAGACAAGAAAAAGAAATTGAGGGAATAAGCATGGGCAGAGAGGAAACAAATCATTATTATTTGCATGCAAATAAAATGAGATAATATTTGTAAAGTGTTTTGCAAACCTTAAAGCATTATGCAAATGCTAGTTGTTGTTATTATTGTTGTTTCTGTCACTCATTTGCCTCTTATGATTGCGTCTTTTAGTTATCTTTTTATGAATGTCCTGTCTTACCAGCTACACTGTAAGCTACTTGAGGGAATCATATAATCACAGATTTGGAGCTCAAAAGACATCTAATCCCACTCCCCTCATTTTACACATAAGGAAACTGAGGCTGAGAAAAAGCTGTGACTTGCCCAAGGCCATAAGTACACTTATCCCTTCCACATCTCGACTTCCTGCATTGAGGATTCAATATTTTTGATATATAAGGACAGGCTTAAGATAGATCTAGATCTAGATCTAGATCTAGATATAGATATAGACATAGACATAGACATAGACATCGATATAGATATATAGATATATCTCAACATATATCGGCATAAGAAATTAAATGGGAATTTTTTGGGAGTTTTGCGGAAGACAACATGCAAAGGCCAGAGATGACACAGAGCCTATTACCAAATATTTAACCTAAATTTTACAGTAAGGTACTGTAAGCACCCCATAAAAGAAAAAGAAAAAACTCAAACTTCTCCAGTACAAAGGGACAGCCAAAAAATTTTACACGGATTTTCCAGCTCATGTGGGCACCGTTCCCTTAACCCCCTTGACGTGGAAGGGATAACCGTAGTAAGGGGCAGAGCTAGGATTTAAACCCAGCTCCCTTGACCCCAAATCTAATGCTCTTCCCACTGTACCAACAATGCCTCCCAAGGAAGGGCTGTGTCTTACCCCTTACTGTAACTAGCAAGGACTAGCATAGTGCCCTGAATGAAGTAGGTACTTGATAACGTTTTTTTTTTTTCTTTGCTGAATTCACAGGTCAGGGACCATTAGCTGCTTTGACCACTAGAGAGGTGAGGGTGGGGGTGGGGCATGGGGGGAGTCACAGAAGTTTTGACTTGACAAGGAATTCACAAGTTCCTGTAAGCCTTGACTTCAGCCAGTTGGTTATACATTTTCCCAGAAGAACTAACAAAGTACTTCAACTTTCACTTTGGACCTGCTTCTCTTCTTTTGTCTGATTCCTGGAAACCCTACCACCACCTCCTCCTACCTCCTGCTTCCTCTTCACCCCCCCCCAAAAAAAAAACTTATTCCCATACCTTAGGGGCCAGGGCCTGGCACCAAGGGGACCAGACTCACTTTCATTCGAAGTGATGCTAACTGGAGAGGCCCAGTGCCCCAGACTACTTGTCTGATACGTTAGCAGTCCTGTTGACAGGGGACAACTTGGTGCAGAGGAAAGAATTCTGGACTCCGGTCTCAGGACCTGAGTTTGAATCCTGTCTCTGCCACTAACTACCCATGTCACTTCGGCAGGTCCCATCCTCTCTGAGCCTCAGTTTCCTCATTTATAAAATGCAGGAGTTGAATTAGGTGAAATTATAGGTTCCTTTCAACTCTAAGATTCTATGATATTTAAAATGTGGGGGTTGGCCTACAGGAGTCCTAAGGTCCCTTCTGGCAACTTTGATCCTGTGACCTTATGCCATCTGAGTCCCATCACTAAGAAGAAAGCCTCTTCCTAAGAGCAACTGATCTACATCCCAAGGTCTAGGAAAGCCACCTTCGCAGGGCCTTCTCTCTCCTTCCCTTAGGATTTGGGGGGTACAAGGAGTTTGGTGCATAGCTTTGATTTCCAGAGAGTCAGGAAGAACCTCCCTTGGAAAGAGGATTTCTTGGGTCCACCCTGGCACCCTTGCTCACATCTGATCCTTCCACACCCTTCCAGCTCCCCAGGCCCTGCAGCCACCCTCACATCTCTTCTTCCTCCCACTGCTTCCTCAGAGGACAGTTCCTGGTTTTCTTTTTAGTGACCCAAATGAAGAAGTTTTAGGGAGTTGGGGAGGGGACAAATCATAGGGAGACACAGCAAGGTTAGGGGACATGAAGAATCAGGGATATATTGGAGACACTAGCAGACCAAAGCCTCAACTGGTGTGTCATGGAGGGGATGAAGCAATTTCTCCTTCTTTCAGGGCTGATGGGACAAGCTTAAGAAAGCTGAGCCCTGGGGCAGCTAGGTGGTGCAGTGGATAGAGCACCTGCCCTAAGTCTGGAGGGCCTGAGTTCAAATCTGGCCTCAGACCAAACACTTGACACTTACTAACTGTGTGACCTTGGGCAAGTCGCTTAACCCCAATTGCCTAAAAAAAAAAAAAGAAAGAAAGAAAAAAAGCTGAGCCCTGAAGCAAGGAAAAGCATGATCAGATAGTTCTATCCTCCTTTACTGGCTGTGACAGCATGGTGGGCTCTGGGTGGAGGAAAGCCTCCTGCTCCCCGGGGACCCCGGGGCACTTCCATAATCTCACCCTATCTGCTCCCTTCCTCTACCAACCTGCAGCCTGAGGGAGCTGAGCTAGGCCAAGCATCTCTTTGCAGCCCCTGCTCCCTGCTCCCAGCACCCCTCTACCCTGGAAGAAGAAGAGGTAGAGGGCCAGAATCCTAGCCTGAGGACCACTGAACAGGAGGGGTAGAAGGGGAACCCCGAACAAGAGACCGGGAGACAGGGGACTGGGATTCCATCACAGCTGTGCCCCTGTCTCCCTGCCTGACTCTGGATCCCAGCCTTCTTCTATAGTGGATAGAGCTCTGGGACTGGAGTCAGGATGATCTGAGTTCAAATCCAGCCTCAGACATTTACTAGTTGTGTGACCCTAGAGAAGTCATTTAACCTCTCTCCACCCCAGTTTCCTGAACTATAAAATGGGGATAATATAATAGCACCTTCCTCCTAAGGTTGTTGTGAGGTTCAAATGAGATCTTAGCACAGTGCCTGGTACACAGTAGGCACTACATAAATGTTTATTCCCTTCTCTGCTGTCCCCCACCCTGATTCAACCCCCAATCAGAGAATAATCCTTAATCTTCCAGTTTGCAATGGGAAGAGACAGATGGGTAAATATTTTGATATCAGTAACAGAGACTGACCTTGCCTCTCCAGTAACTGTCACGGAGTGGTCAAACACACGTTCAGGTATACACATCCATCCATACTATTAGAATATAAGCTCCTCGCAGGCAGAAATATTGATTCTGTCTTTGTATGGCCTGCCCCTCACACAGTGCCTGGCACATAGCAGGCACTTAGTAAGTGCTAGATGATTGACTGATTGAAATACCCTCTGAACTGTACCCACCCATGAGCACAGAGAAAGAATCACACAAAGACATGCACATGTTTTCAAATATGCGTGCTCACAATATGAATACATCTACAACCACCCATTGACACAAACAGATGAATCTGCGGATGAGGGGAAAACACATTTACGCCCACAGACACACCCCACACTTTGCCTTGGATGAAGCCCTCAGCCCCAAAGGGTGGGAGAAGCCAGACTAGACTCTCTGATCCCCCACGACCCGCTCCCACACAATCTCCCCTTACTACCTGACCTCACTAGGTTGCTAAGAAAGAGCTCCCCCCCTCCCCCGCACTGGCTCCCTCCCAAGGTTCAGGCCCTCAGCTCTACTACCCCACTCACATCATCCCATTTGATGAAGCGCTCTCCTCGGGTTAGATAGCTTTTCACCTCGGGGGGCAGCAGGACCGGATGGAGCAGAGACATGCTGCCGGAGCAGGTTGGAAGAGGAGGGCAGTGCGGGCCAGTAGGTGGGTGGGAGGCAGAACAGAGCGAAGCCTGTCTCACATGCTGCTCTCGCCCCAAGTAACCCAGTCCGGAAGTCCGCACCCTCTTATAAGACACACGAAGTTCAGGGGTAGCAGCCAGGTATCTATCTGCATTGCAAATCAGTGGCTGCCCGAGCACCTGTGCCCACTGACAGGCTACAGGAGGATCACGGACCAGTTGAGGAAGACTTTGCCAACAGCTGCTGGGGAGGCCATAATTTCCTTCTCCCTCACCCCCCTAACCCCCACCCCCAGCACTTCCTGCCTCAGGACTTCCTTCTCCTACTTCTCTATCGTCCTAAAGCAACAGAGGTTAGACTGGAGGTGCCAGGTTCAAAATGCTTTTCTCCATCCCCCAGGGAGGATCCCCCAAAGAGGCTCAGTGAGACCCTCAGAGAGAAAGGATGCTGGGACATCAGAGGGACCGGAAGTGGAGTCACCCAGGTTAAAAGCATAGGAGGGCTCCCAGGAGACATCATAGGATCCTAGGATTGTATATTTAGAGTTCTTAGAGACCTCAGAGATCATCTTGTCCAACCCTCCTCCTTTACAGATGAGGAAATGAGGCCTAGGATGGGGAGGTGACCTCTCTGAGGTCACTCCAGATAGTGAGCGGCACGGATGGAATCTGAACCGAGGCCCTGTGACTCCCAATGCAGACCTGAGTGACAGGAGCAGGGACATAAGAGAGGCCATCAGAAAGGGTTGGAAGAGGAGGGAGGAAAAGGGGAGAGCCAGCTGGAGGGAACAAGATTTGGGGTAATAGCTGGAGGCACTGAGTGTTTTGAATAAGCAAAATTTGCTAGGTGACCCAGTCACTCTTTCTCAGCACTTCCTCCCCATGAAAATCAGATGTAAGTGAGGTAATCGTTACCTCTCAAACATACACCCCTATCTCCTCCATCAGAGTTTCCCTGTCTTGGCCCATGGAGACCTGTCTTTTCCCCCTCCCCAGCTTCCCATTAAGTTACCCTTTGCAGTTTCACTGATGAAGGCTGTGCTTGCTAGAATCTCTCTCTGTCTCTGTCTCTCTCTCTCTGTCTCTGTCTCTCTCTCTCTCTCTCTGCCCAGGACCCTGGAGGAGAGCTCCTAGACCTGAGTCATACCTCCCATCCAAACCTCATGGGGATCTGGAGCCTTCCCAATAAGGACTGTGCCCCCTTCCCAAGGCAGCCCCACCTCTAGCCCACACTAACTCCCATCGGGGACAGTAGTTGAGTCCTCTTCTAGGGAGCAGAGCAGGGACCTAGCCCTAGCCCACTTCCTCTTGCCTAACTAGCTCCTCTTATCTTCCTCCATCCAGCCCAGTAGGGGAAGCAAGGAGCGCCACCCATCAGCTTCCTTCCCCTATGAGGAACTTGTCTGGCTGCCCCAGACCCCACCTTGGGGCTCCTCATCCCTTATGAGCAGTCCTAGTCTGCATGACAACAAAAATGCTGGACCCCAAGAGATGTAGACCCTTCTGTCATCTCCCAGTCTCCTGGGCCACTCAATGCTAGCAAAGAAATCAGCATGGGATCAGACAGGCAAGGTAGACAGTTGCTTCTGTCTTTGTCCATAGAGAAGTCCACACAATGCATAGGGTAGGGAGGGGGAAAGGACAGCTATTATATTAAAAAAAAATTCAATAATCAAAACAACCCAGAGCCCAGAAGACTGGGAGCTGAAGATCATCACTCCTTATTCTAAAGAGCTCCCCAGCTCCCCCCTGCCCTCTTCCCTCACCTGTCACTTAACTCCATTCTCCCCCATCTTCCATAACTTCTCTTTTCTTCCTTTTGGCCTTCTGCCCCTCTCTTTACCCCTGCCTGACTCACCCCCCACCCCTTCAGTGAAGCCAGACCCCAGGGACTTCCTCTACACTCCCATGGATCATGTTCCTTTCTTAACCCTTTTGAATGAACTTTGCAAGGGAAATCCCAATCTCTTCACCTGAAGCCTCTGCACCTGCCAACAACATAACACAGTCATCTGAGAATCCCCATCCTCTCTAAATGTGGGCCCTGCTGCTATCTTCCTCTCCACCCTAAGGATGAGGCAACAAGTTCTTTCCCCACCTACCTAAAAATCCAGACTTCTTATCTCATTTCACAGGTTGGGAAATCGAAGCTGGGAAGAAAGATTGGTTTATCTGTGGCTCATTAACACCAAATGGACCCAGGAATCCCAACCCCCAGTTTTATGCTTAGGTACCTTCTCTGCTTCAAGACAGCTCTTGAAACTATCTTGGAAGGCCCAGTCCTAAATACAGTGGAATAAAAGCTCCACCCCCTTCTCCAAGCATCAGAACTGCTTGGCAATGGTTCCCGAGACCCCAACGTGCTAAAAGTCAGTCTGGGACTCTGGACCTGTCTCCCACCCACACCCCCAAGCCTTAGATCCTATAGGACACAAAGAGTTGGGAGAAACTCAGGAAGCAAGGGATTTAGGAAAAGTCATGTGCTTGGAGAGAAATTTCTGCACTGATTCAATGGTAGGATTCAAATTTGTAGCCTCTTAGAGGCTGGCTCAGATTCCAGGTGGCCTTATTATAGATTCAAAGAGCTTAAAGAAGTCATCTGGCCGCAGAATAAAAGATTAAGAGCTGGAAGGAACATCAGAGGTCATCTGGAACTTTTTATAGATGAGGAAACTGAGGCCTGAGGAGGTTAAGTGATTTTCCCAAGGCCACACGGGTAGTAAAGGACAAAACTTCGACTCAAAATCAGGTCCCCTCACTGCAAAACCAAACCCTTTTCCACACAGTCCATCACCTTCACTTTATAAATGAGGAAATTGGGGCCCAAACATAACTTCCTGGGGGTAGAACTGAAACTAGAATCCAGAGCTCCTGACTCTCCAGTCCAGACCTCTTTAAACTTAACCCATTTTTCCTGGATGTAGGATGTTTATATCTGGCTGTTTACATGTTATTTCCTCCCGTTAGTTTGTGAAAGTAAACTTGAAATCAGGGACTGGGTTTGTTCTTTGCCTTTCTCAGTATTCCCAGAGCTTAGCACAGTGTCTGGTACATAGTCGGTGCTTAATAAATGTTTACTGACTGACTAACTGGCCTTCTACCTGACTAGAAGGGCATGTTCTCCCTATTCCATTTCTAATCCCTCTGATCTAAGGCAGCATAGGGTAATGGAATGAGGCTACAGAACTATCATTGTAGGGTCATAGACCTTGAACGGCAAGGAACCTCGGAAACCATTTAGTCTAACCCTCTCATTTTATAGCTGAGAAAACTGAGGCCCAGATAGAGTAAGTGATTCACCAAAGGTCACATAGCTAGTAAGTGACAGGGCAGGATCTGAACCCAGATCCTCTGACTCCAGGGCCAACAATCTTCTGTACCACCCTGGGTTCAAATCCCAGTTCTACTACCTGCCAGCTGTGTGACCTTGGGAAAGTCACTTCTCTTTGGGTCTAAGTTTCCTCTTCTGTAAAATAAGAAGATTAACTGCTAAGGTCCTTTCCCACTCTAAATCCATTATGCTGTGATTCTATCATTCCCTTTAGGATAAGAATGTCTGTTATTCCCACCATACATACCAGCCCCCCAATCCCTACCCAAGAAGATTTGCATTCCCAAAAACCTACAGGCTCAGGACCCCCTTCTCCACTTTCCACCCCAGCCAGCCTGGTCCCCAGGGCATGGGTCGTGCCAGCTCTGTAGCAATTCCATGTTCTACTGATGCTCTGAGCTGGAATGTGACAGGCCCTCCCAGGAGCAGCTCCCTCCCTTCCTCCCTCCCTCGCTCAGATAGGGCTGGGGCCAAGACACAGCCACCCCCGCTTTGGCTTGCCAATCACAACCCCCGCAGATGACAACTGAAAGGGTGAGTGTGCCCCCTGCTGGGTATTTTAGGCAGCGACACCCCCCTCAGCTCAGCTCAGCTCCGCTCAGCTCCCCTCCAACACCTTGCTTTCTGCCCGCTGAAATGACGTCCACCAGGGCATCTTCTGTGTTCCTGACCCCAATGAGCTCTGCCTCCAAATGAGGAGGTATTCTGGGTGCAGAGAATGTAAAATATAATGAGTACAATGTTATCTGTGCATCTATATAAGGATCTTGTGGAAGATAATCTGACCTTGAACTGTAGGGACTGAGAAAATAAGAAAGCTTATATATTAGTCTTTATACACACACACACACACACACACACACACACACGCTATTACTCAAACTATAAATTGGGGCAGCTAGATGGCATACTGGATAGAGCACTCACCCTGGAGTCAGGAGGACCTGAATTCAAATCCAGCCTCAGACACATAACACTTACTAGCTGTGTGACCCTGGGCAAGTCACTTAACCCTGACTGCCTCCAAAAACAAAATAAAACCCAAACTATAAATGAGGAGACTGGACCCTAGAGATGAGAATGAGAGGATAAGAGCCAGGACTCCCTCAGTCTGGATTTGAACTCAGGTCTTCCTGATTCCAGGTCTGGCAATCTATCCACTGTGCCACATAGGTAAAGGAGGAGAGAAAGGGAGGGGGCCAAGCAATTTCTCTCAGGAAATATGTGTATACATATATTCCTCATCATCCCAAACCATGAACTTTCCCTAGATAGCACCACCCTGGCCTTAAGTACAGCTCTTCCCATTTGGGAACTGAGAATTTGTAGGTAAGAACAATGGAGGAGTTGAAAGATCTGGGTTCTACTTCCAGCTGTGTGGCATAAAGTAGTCTATGCAGGGGGCCAAAAATTTGGGGTTCTAGTCCCAGTCACCATTTACTAGTTATTTCACCCTGGGCAGTCTTTTAACTTGATCTGCAAAATGGGAATGACAACACTTAGCCCCATGCACTCACAGGATTTTTGTGAAGTTCAAATGAAATAACACATCAAAGTTTTTGTAATACAAAATGTAAGACGATAATGGCTTCTTTGGTTTTCCAATTCATAAAGTGAACCTAATTTTCAAAGGTTGGGGAGATAGTTTTTATTTATATAGCACTTTAGCAAAACACTTAACATGTTATTTCATTTGAGTAATGCCATTATTATTCCCATTTTACAGATGAAGAAACTGAGCCTGAGGTTAAGTGACTTGCCCGGGGCTGGGCAGCTAACAAGTGTCTGAGGCAGGATTTGAATTCAGGTCTTCCTGCCTCCAACTCCAGTGTTCTAGACACCCAGACACCTAAAGAGATAAATAAGGTACTTTAATGCTTATTTCTATGTAAGAGCAAAGTTTTATTCCTCAAACTTCTAGATTTCTGTTGGAGGCACCACCATTCTTTGTGTCTCCCAGTTTCATAATACTACCATTAGTATTGATTCCTAACTCTCACTTATTCCACAGAGTCCACGTATCCAAACAGTTGCCAAATCTTGCTATTCATTGCTCCTCAACATCTTTCATCCAACCCTTTCTCTCTATTCACACAGCTCCCGCTTTAATTCATACCCTCATCACCTCTTGCCTAGATTACTGCAACAGCCTCCTCATTGGCTTCCCCAAATCAAATCTCTCCCCATGCCAGTCTGTCTTTCATACCACTGCTAAAATAATCTTCCTTAAACAGGTCTGAAAGGTCACTCTCTTACTCAATAATCTACAATGGCTCCCTATTGCCTCTAGGATACAATATGAATTCCTCTATTTAACTTTCAAAGCCCTTCAAAATATTAGCCCAATCTACCTTTCTATCCCCACTATACATTATCCCTCTACACTCTTCCATCCAACCCAATTTGTCTTTTCTCTGTTCCTCTTACATCATACTCCATCTCTCATCTCCACACCTTTGCATTGGCCATGACACAATTTCCTCACCTCCCCCTCTCTTCCTTCAAGACCTAGTTCCAGCATTATTTTCTACATGAAACCTTTCCTGATCCCTCCTACTAGTGATCCCCTCCCCTTACTACCTTGAATTGATTTGTATTTACTCTCTTCAGATGTTTTTTGTAGATATATGTGTGTGTACATACATAAACATATATACATACACACATGTATATATGTATGTGTGTATATACATACACATACACATATACATATATACATACACACACATAAAAATATATTGTTTCCCTCATTTAAAATTATCTCCTTGAGAACAGGGATTGTTTCATACTTTGTAGTTGTATCCCCAGTGCCTAGGTCAGTGCCTGGCACATGGTAGTGCACAGTCTAGCTCAAGTTCCTTCCAATTATAAATCTAAATAGCCTAATATTTGTTGACTGAGTTCCTCCGGCCTGAGCCACTCATTCCCGAGTGGTCTGATTCACTTTCAGGCCACTAGGAGACCATTTAGTGTTCTGTAATAGCATCACAAGAAATGACCACCTAATGAACCAATGCACTCAGGCTTGATTATATAGAAAAGCATTTTGTCTTTTTAGGGTAAAAAGCAACTAAGTAAATCTAGGGAATAAACAGCCTAAGAGAAAAATGAAAGAAACCAGGGTCATTTAGTCTAGAGATGAGAGGGGTAAGTGGGGAGCAAATGAGAACTTCCCAAGTTCTTAGGGTAAATTTTTAAGGGAAAGAACTTAGGGAGAGTAAAAAAATTTTTTTAATCTCCATTGAAAAGAGAACCTAGACTTGCATCAGAAGATATGCAAAGTTCTATATAAAGAACTTTGCAGGGCAGTTGTCAGTAATTGAAATGGTCAGTAAAAGAGGTAGTAAGGACCTAGAATCTTTAAAAAATAGCACACACTCATATCCAGCTAGTTAAAATCTGTGAAGTACATAGGAGAGAAAGGAAAAGATAACCTCCAAGAATAAGAATTCCTTTTTTTAATTAATTTTTTTTCAACTAACCAGCAATTATTTTCTCTCTCCCACCTTCCTCCTCCAATGAACAAAAAGAAAAAGAAAACCCTCCTAGCAAACAAGCATAGACAAACAAAGCAAATTCCCACATTGACCGTGTCCCAAAAGGTATGTATCATTCCGCATCTTGAATCCATTACCTTCTCTGTCAGGAAGTGGATGGCATACTTCATCTTCTGTCCTCTGGCACTTTGTCATTACATTGATCAGAGTTCTCAAGTCTTTCAAAGTTGATTTTGTTTATGATGTTGTTATTGTAAAAAGCCTTCTAGTTCTATTCACGTCACTTTGCATCAGTTCATATTGATCTTTCCAGTTTTCTCTGAAACCATTCATTTTGTCATTTTTCATGACAATAATATTCCATTACACTCATACACTATAATTTAGTCATTATCTAATCAACGAGCACTCTTTTTAGTTCAAGAGTAAGAATTCTAAAGCTATGACATTAAACAAGCCATTGTGCTACTTGCAGTTCCAAAATGAGCTCCTGCCTCCAACCTGTCCAGCCTTGGACAGGGATTGATTGGTTGCTGCAGCACAGTAAAAACTATGCAAACCCCAGAGGCCCTTGGGGTTTCTCAGAATGGAAAGAGAAAAGTCACTCCTTGAAATAGCATCCCTCTAGCATCAGAGTCAGAAAGGAACCTGGAAGGTCAGGAAGCTTGGCTGTTGGATATTGCTCTTAGTACTCTTTACCCAATTAAGATGTCTTTAGTGGAAAAGGTGGCAGGGAAACTGATCACAGATGAATTTTCTAGAGAAGGCAACGAGAGAGTATGGGAGTATAAATTCAGAACCAGAAGAAGACTCAGTGGTAATCTAGTCTACCCCCTCTCCCCACCACACACATAACCTTACAATTGAGGAAACTGAGGCCCAAGAGGTCTTAGTCATGTGCCCAAGGTTACAAATAGGGAAGATGCAGCAGTGTCAGCATTAGGACCAATTTAGTGCTTTCAGGTTTGCAATCTGCTTTACGTACATGATCTCACTCGATCCTCACACTAACCCTGTGAAGTACATCAATTGAAAAGAGGGACTTTTAGAAACCTTTGTCCCTAGAATCTAGCATCTAGTAGTAGGTGCTCATGTGTTTCTTGAATCGAATTGAATTATTATTTCTATTTTACAGATAAGGAAACTGAGGTTCAGAAAAGTTAAATTACCTCCAGGCACAAAATTAGTAAGGATAAGAGATGTAAAGCTGGGGCACTCCTGACTCCATGCCCAGCACTCTTTCCATCACACCAAGGAGCTTCTCTGAGGTGTGGTTTACCACTAAGGTTTCTCCAACTCAGGAAGGCCTATAGGAATGGCTAGGGGATCGAGTCCCTTACAGAGGCCACAGAATCCTGGGAAGAATGAGGGTTCACAAACACATTCACCCAGTGACTCACACATAAGCAAATAGATGGGACGCACTGAAGGACAATGCAACGTTAGTGCAATCCTAGAGCCTCCACAGGACACTCTCATAATCATTCGGCTACACACAGGCAGAGACCACACAAGCTCTCAGGAACACAGGCAACTAGGATTCAAGGAGGAGAGGGCAAGAACATCTGGGGAAATAATGGAGGGAAAGAGAGCAGAGAAGGAATATAGAAGGGTGAAGGTGAGGAGGAAGGCAAAGAGAGAGAAGGAGGCTAAGAATGGCCTCCGTGGATCTGGGCTGCGAGGGAAGGAAGACGAGGCTTGCTCCTAATGGAATCCCGTGTCCTCCTGACCCTCCTCCAAACCTGGCCAAGAGCCTACTTCATTGGGAATCTGGAGCTGTACGAGGACCACCCAGCAGAACAGAGAAGCCAGCCAGAAGCCACGTTAGCTCCGTCCTAGTAGGGAAGGGAAACAGAGGAGTGGAATGGGAGTAAGGCAGCTTAGGTAGCAGTGCTCGGACTCCCAAGGACTCCCAAGGGAGCGCTATACAATACACCCCTTTGGGACCAGATCATACCTAACTCGCCGAGTAAACCGTAACAAACGGAAACCTGGCCCCCGTCCCAAGCAGCAGAATAGAGGAAGACAAGAGGCAAAGGTGGTAGTTCAACCAGGAGGACTCCGAGATCCCCACGCCTCAGGTGAACCAGGGTGAGATCCCCAAAGTGATCGTCAGTCTTCTACATCACAGGAAAGTCTGTCTCTGTCTCTGTTTCTGTCTGTCTGTCTCTCTCTCTCCCCCTTTCCCTCTCCCTCTCCCCTCTACCCTTTTACCTCTCCTCTCTCCCCTCTCTCTTCTCTCCTCTCTCTCTCTCTGCATGTGTGCTGCACAAAAGCCTGAGCTCCAGAAGTTTACAGCCTAAGGCTGACGATTCTGGTGGGGACGGAAATTGGATGTTCTAACAACACGGAACACATGGAACCAACATATGCATTAAATAAATAAGTGCTGTGTGCACGCTGCGGGGCGGGCTCCGGGAGAAGGGAGTCTAGAGATGGGGGAGAGAAAGGACTGAGCTTCCAAGCGCCTTCAAGGGAGGGAACTAGGCTTCCTAGAAACTCTGAAATCCGCTTTACAAGGAGGGAAACTGAGGCACGGGAGCCCGAGCTGGGTTCCCTTTCCTCCCACAACTCTAGATAGTCCCCCTTTAGTTCTTTGGACTCTGCTGAGTCCCACCGGGACAGGCTGAAGACAGAATGTGCGGGTAAGCGAGGAGAAAGTCTCCCGGACGAGTGTGGCAACCCGCCCCAAACCACTCACACCTTCGGTCTAACCAGTTCGGTACTCCGCCCAGTACAGCCACGCTCCCCTTTTAAAGAAGCGCTCCGAGTTCCCTTCCCTCCGCTACCCCTCCCCTCCCACCCAGCGCCGCCGCCCCTGACGCACGCCAGCACCGCCCCCAAGGCATCGCCCTTTTAAGAGTCCCTTTCGCTCAGCTTCCCTAACGGGTCGTCCGAAGAAGAAGCCGGTAGAGCTGGCGGGACTTAGCTTCGCTCTTTAAAAAACCCACCTTTCCCGACCTGAGCTGCCAGACCACCGGCGTGGCCCTTTTAAGAAGCAAGCCCCGAGTGGATCCCGCGCCCCCTCCCCCCCATCCCGAAGGAGTCTGGCCCGGAAAGAAGCGCGAGCGGAGTCGCGCGCGGGCGCCGGAGACGGACGGACGGACGGCCGGCCAGGCGGGCGGACGGGCAAGCGGACGGCCGGTGGTCAGCCGGAGCGGCGGCGGAGCGCGGGGCACGGTCTGTCTGGCGGCCGAGGGGGCTGGCTGCGGGAGGCGGCGGCGGCGGATGGGGACCTTGAGCCGGCCGGTGGCTACGGAGGCGGCGGCGGCGGCAGGGGCAGGGGCTGGAGGGCTGACGGGACAGCGGCAGCGGCGGCGGCGCTGGCGGCGGTGACGAACTCAGGCCCCGGCAGCAGCGACGAGGTGGCTGGGGCTGGCGGCGGCGGCGGCGGCGGCCGGAGCCAGAAGCCCGCGGGGTCGTGAGGGCGCCAGGCCGCCCCCCAGTGCAGTCCGGCCCCACGCGTCCGAGTCCTCGCCAGCCCTCCGGGGCCCCCAGCAGCCGGGGCCGTGGAGCACCGGGGCAAAGGCCGGGGCCCCCCCATGAAGGAGCGCGACTCGGCCCCGGCCGAGCGGGGCAAGCCGGCCACCTACACCGGGGACAAGAAGGCGAAGATGGCGGCCAAGACCAACAAGAAGTGGGTCCGGCTCGCCACCGTGTTCGCCTACGTGCTGTCCGTGTCCCTGGCCGCCATCGTGCTCGCCGTCTACTATAGCCTCATCTGGCAGCCGGTGGGGGCTGGCACCTCGGGGGGTCCCGGCGGCGGCCCGCCCCCCGGCCCCTCCAACACCACGGCCACAGCCACGGCGCCGGCCGGGATCCCGGGGGGAGCGACGGGGGGCCCCAACGCCACGACCCCACCGAGGATCGAGGCGCCGCAGGACGCGCCCCCGCTGCAGAGCTCCGGGACCACGGCCCGGCCGCCTGGCCGGTCCGGAGAGCAGCGGCAGCGGCGGGAGCCGGAGGAGGAGGCGCCGGCGGCGGCACCCGGGAGTCGCTGAAGCCGCTCTGGATGGGGGTGGGGGGCTGCTGGGAACCCGTCCCTGGCCTTCCCCAGCCCCAGGGAGGCAGGACTTTGCAGCCGCCTGTGCGGGGCGGGGAGAGTCGGCGGGGGGGGGGGGGGGGGACCCCCCCCCGCGGCAGCCAGCGGCCCCGGGTCCTATGTGCCGACAGTCCCGGGCCGATCTGCTTCGGAGAGAGGGACCAAGATTCGCCTCTAGCTTTCGGTTCCGTCCTCAGAGGACCGTGATGCACCAGGGCCGGAGCCAGGGGGGGATGGTTGGGCGGGGGGTGGGAAGATTCCCAGCCCGGAACCCTCGTTGGCTCTCTCTTGAGTATCCTTAAGGGGGAAGGGGTGTCCCGGGCTTTCCCATTCCGCCCCCACTCAGGGCTTGGAGGGAGCTATAGGGGCTCGTTGTAATAAGCTGAAGCTCTCGCAAAAGTGGGGAGCACAAGTAGTGGAGCTCAGGTGTCAACCTAGTTGCAATGGCCACAGATGCATTTAATTTATAGATTCGTGTATATAGTTGTTGACTTATGCACTTAGAAGCTATAATTACATAGAACTATATATATCCACCCACACCCTGGATAGCTACTGATTGGTGTGTCAAGCAAGGGCTATCGAGCAGAAAATGCTGCCCCCCAAGTGCAGCTAGTCAGGAGGGCACAGTACCTTTAGTCAAGAAATTGGTTTGTTCATCACCCACCCTCCTCCTTCATCCTCTTCCAGTTACATGAAGATAGGTTAATTTGTGACATCCTTATCAATAACATTTGTTGTTGGATTAGTTTTTAGACTTGTTGACTTGACAGTGAAAAAACCTCAGGAGGAACGGAAGCGGTTTTTTGGGAGAGTGGGAAATGCAATGACACCCCTATTCTCCCAAGAGGCTTCCTGTTGCATCTCCAATTATCTGGACTGGAGCCAGGATAGAAGGAAGGGAAAGAGCAAGGCCTCTCTGTGCTTTATTCTTAACCTTCCCATCACAGGGGTCGGTTGGGGAAAAGTGAGCAAATAGAGTGCCTGGCAAGAATTTTTCTGCCTCTTTGCTGCCCTTCAAGATCTTGGCATTACTCCAGTAATCACACTCTTATCAAGCTTAGACTTTTCCTCCCTTTTGATCCTGTAGTGAAAGCCTAACCCTCTCCTAGGGACTAAATCTGTTCTGGTGAAATAAGAGCCTTGTCACCAGTTCTCTGGTTTAGGAGCTGTACCACAGAATCAGAAGGGTTGCGGAGGTGGGCTTCAAACTTGTAATTGTGTTTAGGCACAAATAGCTTTTGATAGCCAGCAAACAGAAAAAATCATGTGAAAGGTAAATTGATGTGTTTTTCTTCTCTCCTGATGAAGTCTCTATTATGCAGCATATATTTTTTATTGTGGGGTTAAGAAACAAAGGAAAATGACATATGGCTTAGAAGGAGAAGGAGTCATTCTTTCTATTTGGATTCCATTTCCCTCTGCCATTAGCTGTAGCCAAGCACTTGCAGTGCAGTGACAGGAGAGCAAACCCCTTAGTATTTCCTTTTTGGGAAAATATGGCACTTTAAGAAAAAAAAAAAGAAAAAAGAAAAAACTTTTCCACCTGTGTGTCCTGAAATGGTTCATCCCTGCTGTTTCTGGTCTAGTCTTTAGCCAGCTGCAATTCAAGTTTACCAGACAGCAGCTATGCTTTAAGCCATTGTCCTGTGTGGGCCAAGATACTAGCATCAGAGCTGTCATAGCCTAGGGACAAGCCAGTGGTACTCTGAGGAGTGCTGGCTAGGGAAGGATTTCTTAGCTACTGGCTACAGTCAATGGAGCCTTTTTTTTTTTTTCCCGGTATGGAGAATGGTGGGGAAAAAAAACACCGTGAAATAATCACCTTTATTACTTCAATAATAGCCAACAATTTATATTTACTGTGTGAATTTTTAGTCCTACATTTTAATAATTTGTAAGTTTATCTGTTGTCTCAAGACCTTTTGAACAAGAGACCATCTGGAACTCCCCAGCATTCCGGGACTGTCTTAATCCACCTTGGGATCAAAGAATCTAGCAAGACCATTCTAATGTCCAACTGCTGCCCCACTAACTCTCTAAAGCCTTCACTGGAAATGGGACATTAGCTCCAGCTCTAGGTGTGAACATGCTCAGAGACCTTATTTATAATTCAGCCATTTAAGATATACCTGTACTCAAAAGTCCTGTATATTTTTTAAAAGTTTTATTTTTCAGGTGAACAAAAATACATTCTAAGAACTCTGCCTAAACCTGTGTAAGAATGTTATTAAATTTATTTTCTCAGTTAACTCGGAGAGAAAAGGGTGGGGACAAGGAGAAAGGGTATCTTCAGATGAAGTAAGCCCATACACAACAGTTTTGAAAGGGTTGGGGAGGCGGGGAGTAATCCGAGGGCTATGGCTAGATTGGTTAATAAAGGGAGGAATAATTTCACTTTAGACTTGATGCAGTCTTAAAACCTTAGGAATTCGTTGCATATCCCCAACAAACATAAATGTCTTCTGCTGTCCTGACTCAGCCAAGGTGCCCAAGCTTCAGTGGAAGCTCTCAGTAGTAATTGCTACATTTTAATGATGAGGTTGAGAGATGACAGTATGCTTGAAGAGCAGATAGTTGAAGTTAGGCTTTAATTCTGAAACCATTACTGCTTTCCTCTTTTTTTAAAGCCCTATTTCTCATGGTTTTTCTCAAGAGATTCCATGGTGTGGACTTAGAAACCTATTGACCCTGCAGGGCAATCCTGGCCCTGGGTCATGGTAAGGTGCCACTTCATGGCTTTAGCTTCAAGGGGGGAAGGGAGGAAAGGAAACATTCCAACAAGGGAAGGGGGGCAGTGCCAGCTTCATAAACCTTAAAAGGCAGTTTTTGAAAGGCAGGGTAAAAAGGTACAAACATAAGGGATTAGGCATGCAGCAAAGTATAGGGGAAGCAATTCAAATCCACCCATTGTTAGCGAAATGCTGCCCAGCACAAATGTAGAGCTAGGAGCCAATGTTAGAGGGGCTCCCTGAGGCCAGTGCTTCACAAGAGCTGCTGGGGGGCAGCTGCTGGGCTTTGACATCACCTTGTACTCTGCGGGGAGGCTTGGAAAAGGTCCGCCCTGCTTTTATTCCCCTCTTCAACCCACACAATAGCATTTTGTTAGAGGGCTGAGTAAGGCAGAGCAAAGGAGGAGTGAAAGAGTTACATAGTTCTTTCAGTCAGCCCCTTCTCTCTCTCGAGATAGTTACATGCTGCTTCTACAGCTGTACACAGCTTCACACATTGTGGCACATGACAGCAGTCTGTACTGTGTGATATGCAGGCCCCTGCTGTCTAATTAGAAGGGAACTATTCCACCAAGACAGGGCCCAATTGGCTGGGGAATATTGAATGGAAATAGCTTATTTTCAGGGGTTGGAATCCTAGTTGCAGAAATGCCCATTAACTCTCAAGCTAGCAGGGAAAGGTTTAAGCCAAGAATTTGGCTTTCTTTTTGATTCTACTTTGTACCTGAAATACTGGGACCATTTGTGTGTGTGTGTGTGTGTGTGTGTGTGTGTGTGTGTGTTAAGTTATTGCTTTGCTTTTATTATTAGGCATTCAGAAAATATTTTTTTAAGTGAGATTTTGGTCAGAGATTTCCCTGAGCTGCTCCAGCTTTGAGTCTCTGTTCTGAAAATTTTCCTCTATTGATATTGAGGTAAAGAAAAGTATTTCTCTGAAGGATTTACAGAGTGCTACTATAGCAAAATCCTCTTCCTAAAAATCCAAATAGTGTATATACTGTGAAGCTACTACTCTGGAAGCTTTTCCACCTAGTTTTTTTTTAATTGTTTTTTTCTGTTTCCACCAGCATTGTGGGCCCTTCACTTAAGTGTTTATTTCACTCACCATATTTTGAAATCTCAAGTAGAACTAGGGAAAGTGACTTGTTCCCTCTAGAGAAACCAGAAGGATAGAACTTGAATTTTGGAACTATTGAAGCTACTTAGAATTAATGCCTTCCCCACCCCCTCCAAGTATAGAGGTATTTCTAAATTTGCTATTCTATGACAAAAGAATCACAACCATACCTATCATATTGGCTGCTGCAACAGCTCAGTTACATTTGGCAAAATGTAACTGGCTTTGTGGGTGTGAATAACAACACATCCTGTGATTTGTGAGAATAAGTTATTGAGGGCATATTGATTTCCTTTTCCAAGCCCAGAACTTCTTAATTTATTTTAACATCTGGGGCGTGCAGGTGTACCTGACATTCTTCTGGACCAGAGGGGCCAAGACACTCCAAACAGCCCTCTGGTTTTGCTCAGGCAACAGATAGGAATTCCTGTATATTGTTATGTTGTAGAAATACAGAATTACTATGAATATTAAATGAACTTGCCACAGTCTTAAAAGGGACAGATTTTTAAATTTCCCAAGAGGACAGTTTGGATTGCATCTACTCAATTTCTGATTATGTTTTTTTGTTTTCTTTCTTGGAATATGCTCATCTCATTTCAGACAACTCCATTACTGTGCTAAGTAGGGAAAAGGTATGTGCTGGAATAGTGAGAACTCCACACTGAAAGCTAAGTGACCTAGGTTTTAATCATAGCTTTTCCATTATCTGTGTGACCTCAGGCAAGTCACTTAAACTTTCTAACCCTTCTTAGTTTCCTTTTCATGCAAGGTACATAGTAAGTATATTATAAATGTTTCTCCAACTTTTTTTTTAATTTAACTGTAATAACGTGAGATAAGTAGATGAGTTGATTTTTAAGATACTTTCTAATTCTAAAATTCCATGACTATTCTCTTCCCATATGCATCACTTTATAAAGCTGGATCCACTGCCCTCTCTGCCCAGGCTCTGTTTGCTTGTTGGTATATTAAGAATACCTGCTCCCTCTGCAGTTTTTCAGTTACATCTGTTTCATTTGCTGACACAGCCCCTGGTTTGCTGTTGCCACTGGTGCAATGCTTTTGTTCCTGCCAGTAGGTAAAAAATAGGGTTCTCTTTGGTCACATGTCCCTTTTCCTAATTGTGACCTCGACTCAAGTACAGAAACAACTAGATCTCATATTGGACATAATGGTACAAATGGGAACAGCTAAGTCATCACTAAGGAGCTATCAGCAGCATGAGTCCAAAACCGAAATTTCACTCTATACTCCATGATGATTCTGACCTTCCTGGTAACTAGGGGGACATTTTGCTGTTTCTGTGACTCCTGCTTGCATTCACCCTTGCCAGAGAGCTAAACAGTAAGTAGAACTCTTTCTTCTTACTAGGAAGGAAGTTTCCCACTAAAACAATAGCATTACCATCCCCCCCTTACACACACACACACACACACACACACACACACACACACACACACACACGTGCAAGCTCGTGCCCATATCCTTCACAAAAGCATCTGTGATGCGTGATTAGTTCTTTCAAATAGCTGGCTATAAACTGACCTACTTATGGCTGGTGTAGCTAAGCCTTGTTAGACTTTCTCTAACTCTTATTTCATTGATAGGTCCTTTGCTAAGTCCTAGGTTAAATAATGACCAATTTACACCAGGGGGTAGGAGACTTTGTTCATTCAGTTTCACAAACCCTCTGAATCAACTCAGAAATCAACTCAGATAAAGAAATATGTTGATTAGTGCAGCTTCTATTTCTAATTTACTTCTCACTCTGCTGTATCAACAGTTTAAGCTTTTAGATGAGTAGATAAAGCAGAGTTGCCTCCTAAAGATAAGGTCCTCCCTCAACTTGTCCTTGGTAAGTGAGTTCTATACCTGACATTCCCACTCAGCTCTTCTGCTATTGGCTTAGGTAATACAATCCAGCAAGCATTTTTTAAGTGCCTGCTATGTGTAGAAGATGCTACCTGTTAGAAGTTGGGATACAAAGACAAATAATAATAATATAGTGAAAAGAACACTGGACTAGCTGTCCCACTTAGCATCTTAGTGACTGGCCAGATCAATTCACTTTTCTGAGTCTCAGTTTCCACACTTGTAAAATGGGGATAGTATGTGATTCTAATTTTGAAGGATTAAATGAAATAACCTATGTGAAAGCCCTTTGTAAATGAAGTGCTATACAAATGAAAGTATTATTGGAAGGGGTGGGGCAAAGTAGCAAAAGAACCCTGGGAATTTAGGCACCGATGCTTATTCTGTCAATGACTGTGTGACCTTAGTTAAGTCACTTTTTGCTTCTCTCTTTCCTTATCACTAAATGGGAATTTATCAGAAGCTGCGAGATGTGAACATGCTTTTAGCTCTTGGGAACAAAGATGCCTCATAAATATGAGGTGATATTTTTCCAACACAGTATTTATCCCTGGGGCAGAAGTCATACTCTGGGAGGCTGGATGTAAAGAAGAGGGAAGTATAACTACAATATTATTATAGAGGGTAGAAAGCTACTTGGCCTAACCTTCTCCTTTGTCACTGTAAGGCAAGGACTGCATTAAGAGGAGGCTCTTTGATTTCCAGTGACAAACAACTTCCCATCCTTATGTAACAGGAAGAGAGCAACTGTTAATAGTGTGGTAGGGGGTTAGGGTTGAAGAGAAGGTAGAATGGAAAAGTCTTCCAAGAATACAAAGGAAAGGGGAAAATGCCAGTGATGTTCCTCATTTCTTTGACAATAGTAAAGAACTTGATCTTATTGGGGAGGAGACTTCTGAACTAGCTTCCGCTTTTGTTTCCTATAAAGGTCCTGATGTGTTTTGCTTCACCCCCTGGCCTGCAGCCTGCTGTTCCCCAAGCTAATCCATAAAAGGAGCAGCGGATGCCACATACCATTCCTTCTGGTGCCAGGCCTGGCATCAAGTGGATGGATAATAAGTGGCCTTGACGTCTGAGCTCCCGCAGCCTCGTCTAAGAGAAAGTAGCACTAGCTCCTCAGCAGGGCTGCCACAGCTTTGAGATCTCCCACTGTTTCAGGGTTCTTACTGTTGTATGTGAATGCTTCCTACCCTAAACCCTGATAAGCTTTGTGGCTCCGGAAGTGGTGCTGAGCTAGGGGGAACACACAGAGATATAAATGATTCAGCTGGACGCAAAAGGGAAACTGGGTCTTTATTATCTCCCTTCCCTCCCTCCCCCTAACCCATAACTGCAAGAATTCAAGAAAGACCTGGATGTGTAGGAGTTTCAGCAATTGTCTCCATATTCCTGCCTAGTGTTGTTATATTTCAGCCCTTCTCCCATTTCCTGAGGCCGGTTTTAAGATTAAATGACAGACCGACCTTCTGGAATTCTAGCTTAAAAAAAAAAAACCAACCATAACCTTTCTTGTAGCTCCTGCCATAACTGCTTCCCCTTTTATACCTATGTGGGACCTCTCTGGAGTCTATAGGAAAATGTTGCTCTGGTGTTCCGCTGGTTGACAAAGTTTGAACTTGGGGGAGGAGAGTTCAGAGGCAAACACCAAAAACAGAGTTGGCTACCGGGGAGAACATTAAAGAGACAAGGATTGTGGTTTGGGAGCAGCTGACAAGAATGTTAGCGATGTAAACAGAGGAGAGACAGTGCAGGGATAAGGGACAGCTCAGGCCCAAGCCAAAGATTTAAATAGAAACCAGAGTGTGAAGTCAAATGAAGAAATAGTCCCCAAATCCTTGTGACAGTATTGATGGATAAAAGGAATCAAGACACCCTAAGAAAACCAAAATTGCTCTGAGAAGAGTTTTTGTCATCACTGGATAGCCCTGGGGAACCTGAATCTACCTTCTTGTTTCTGTGGCTGTGCAGTACTTCTTAATTAAAAAAAAAAAGTTTGGAGCTAAGCTATATTGGGCCTACACTGGGTAGTGGAAATGTCAGGATTATATAAAAATGATTCTCTTCAAAATTTCTTAGTATGCTTTTCCCTTGAGCTAAAATGGGCCCCAGAACAACCCTGTCCTCAGACCTTCTCTCTGTTGTTTTCCATACTTGATCCAATCCAGCTCACTGCCTTAACAGCTCCAGACATAGTCCCAGATTGCCTCCCATATTTTCATAAGGATTGCACCTTTTACAGTCTCTTGTCCCTCCCAAATCACAGACCAGAAGACTGTGAAGGCCAGGCTAAGATTTCTAAGAGACTTGTATCGAGAGTATGGTATTCCTCCAGGTCTATGGAAATAAACTCATCTTTTGGCGGTAAAGTGAAGGTTGCCCCAGGCTGGAGGTCCTCAGATTAGCAGAGTCAGAAGCAGGCAGGGCATAGGAGAAAAGGATTCAAGGTGGGTGCAACCCAGTACTGTGTATGCGTGTGTCTGTGTGTGTGTATTTTTAGAGACGTATGGTTTTTGTTGTTTTTTGGAGATGGCCTAACCCTAGGTAGGACACAGTGGAAGAATGGCAGAGGATAGCTACACTAACCATTTTATACCATATCACAGAAAATAGTTCACATTTCGTCAGGAATGCTTAATTTTATTTGTCTTAGATTATAATTTCCCTTCAGTTGAGAAACTGTATGTTCCTTCCATAACTACTCACCATTCTCTTCAGCATCTGATGTAGGTTAAAACCTGAATCTGTGGCATTGTTTCTCCTGACATTTTTTTGGGAAATACTCTGCAAAGTTGAGATTGCTGCCTCCCATCAAGTGAAATGTCACCTCTTCACTACCATCCCACCCTGGATCCCTCCAGCTCAGGAACCCACTAGAGAACGTAAATCATTGCTCACAGTTCCTTATTCTACATCCCTCATCCCATAGTGTCACACATGCAGACACAACCACACAAATTTCTCAATGTAGAAGGCAGCACATCTGGACAGTCAGCTGCTTCTTGAGGGCAGGGATTAGAGTTTATCAGAATCAGGGGTTAGAGGTCATCAGAATTCAAGGCCAGGCTCCCCCCCCCCAATCAAAGTTTTCTTTTGGGGAAGAGGAATTCCAATGCTTTATACCAACTAAAGGGAATTATATATGTCTAGCTAGAAGATAAGGGTCTTCCAGTGTCCCCAGCTAGGAACTGGGTTTTCCATCTTATCCTAGAGTCCAAAAATATATCCCTCAGGGGCCCTACTTCCACATGAACAGAAATATCCTCAAGCCTTGAAAGTATTTTCTTACTCTACCCTCACACCAAACTCAGAGTTCTAAACTTTTTTTTCCTCTTTTCCCTACTCCCTACTGTAAGAACCCAGCACAGTCCCACTCAGACCTCTTTTAAAGGCAATATTTCATTTCAGTACACTGATTTTTCACACCATGAAAGTAGAGATTGTGATCCTAGAAGGGAGAAAGTCCAAGGCCGCCCAGCATTCTGCAGTATATACAGCAATACACGTGGCCAGCCAGGATCATGAATTTCCTTCCATTCCTCATATATTCCACCTCTTCAATCATGCACCAGAAGGATCCCATATCTTTTGAACTGTCCATGGTTCATTTTTCTGGCGAAGGGAAGAACCTCCTCTGGCAGGTAAAAAGCGTAGCTAAGATAAAAAAGTCAGAGATGGACAGCAATGGGCAATGCTCGGGAGGAAAAAGTTGGCAAAGGGAAATATATGATGAAATCTGGGGCCTAAATGATGAGATCCAGGAAATGAGATTCATGAGGGAAGGATAATAACAGGTACTCAAGGGAGTTAACCACAGGTAGTGATGCCCAAAGGAGTTCCTGCTTTTCTCTCTTCACTCTGAAAGACAGAAGGAGTGGTACAATAGTTAGCCCTATGAATCCTTATTCCCAGTCTAACCCCAACTCTGTAGAATGTCCTGTAGTTAAGAGGCCAATTCAAATCCTGCTGTTCCTCCCAGATTATGCCAACTGGCTGGGTTCTTTCCCTCCATGCTGCTGGCAAACTCTTCTTGTTCCATTAGCTGAGTCACCTTTTACTCCCTGAAAGAACTTTGGGAGCAGATGGCAAAATTCTGGGAACTTGAAGCAATGGTAAGTGAGGTAGTACCTAAATGACTTGGGGTACAATGCAGGGAGTTACAAGCACAGGACTTGGAACACTAGTGTCTGCCATTGGAGTCGTATCAGCAGGGCAAAGAACCCTCAAACTGGTGGATGGAACCTAGTCAACAGACCAATTTGAAATATCGTAGACTCTAAGAAGTGATGGGTAAGTAAGTGAGATAGGTACGTTCTGGGGTCCTGAACACAATGAGCAGCTTCTGCTCTTATAACGCAGAAGGGAATGGCTTGTAGGATGCACTAAAGGGGCTTTGGGATATGGTGCCAGCTGTTTTAGAATCTGAGGTGCTGCCGTGGGAAGACTACAGGTGTATTAGTTTGCATGTACAAACATGTGCCCACACTGATGTACATGTGACATCCATGAAGGGAGCTCCCTCCCTCTCCTCAAATCAGTTTTTTTTTTGTTAGTTTGCCAAGCTGCTTAGCCAGCCTGGCACAGCAAACCAGAAGCCAACAGTTTGTTACCCAGAAGGCTTAGAGTTCTTGATTCAGCACTTCCTTTCTAAGCTCCCTGGTATAAGAGAACTGGTCCACTCACCATCTTCTGGGGTTCATTTTAGCCCTGTTCACCACTCTTCTTGTCACTCTTTCCCTTTGGTTGGTTTTTCTGGCTGGACTGTCTCACTGTGCCAAGCTGTCCCTGAATTCCAGCCTGGCCTGAGCCATCCTCAGTGGGTTCCTGGGATCTTGTCTTCTGTTCAGGGCTGTCATGGAGGCATAGCTCTGCCATATTGTTATTTAGCTTCTGGGCCTGCTCTGAACTGTCAGGAAAGGAGAATAGGTTGCTCTCCTTGACACTAGGCCCTGAGGTGGGCTTATTGCTCCCACTTGCCCTGGGTGCAGGGCTGTTGGCATCTCCTGGGGAGAAGAAAGGGAGCACAGGTGCAACCTTCCGGGAAGACCTAGACTCTAGACTGGACATTGGGTTACCAGTGCTGAGCTTGTCTTCTCTTTCTCTCTGGTGCCCATCTGGGCTAGACTGGCCAGTGCTGGGCTCCTGAATACCACACTGGTCACTGTGTTCCAGACTCCTTTGTTTCTGTTTGTCCTCCTCTTCATTCTGTAACCTCTTTGTGTTGTGAGATCCCTAAAATAATGTATAAACAAGCTGAGTCAATGAATTCAGGGTCCCTCCTCTCTCCTGCTTCCAGTTGCATCCCTCAGGCACCCACCTGACTCTCTAAGTCATCCTTGGGAAAGGATTGTTCTTCTCCCTCTTTCGTATCCCACCTGTCAAGATAGAGCATATGGTAGGCACCCCTTTCCCTCTCTACCCCACATGTACCCTGAACCCCCTTCTCAGTTTAATGTGTCTCCCAAGGGAGAAACTTAGGTGTCAATGTTCACACAACTAGTATGGGAACAAAATGAAAATAATTGCGAAGTTTTTTCCTTCTCACTTCTGTTTTTGGTCCCTGTGAACCGTCGTCTCCACCCGGCTAACTCTCCCACCCTCCCCACTTCCTTGAATGCTTCTTTGCTTCTGCATGCACAGCTGCTGTTTATCACCCTACCCACACTATTTCATCCTATGGGGACTTTAGGCATGTCCCTGCCTGTGCTGCCTGGGAAAGGCATGCCAGGCACTACCTCCAGGGATGTCGCTATTGTAATTATGCCACAACCTCCCAGAGGTACTGGACTCCTGCTGCTGGCAGTCCCTCCCAGCATCTCATTAACCTGTGACAAGGGATAGATCCAGGTAGGAAGTGCCCCTGCCTCAGAGGGACAGGAAAACCAGGCACCTGGATCTTGAGCTTTTTAGTGTCCTTTGTCACAGGTAGGGAGAGCAGGAGGGGAGGAAAAAAATGTAGTTGGGCAGAAGAAAATCAGCCTTAGCCAGGCATACTCACCTGGCACCCAAAGCCCGATTTTGCTCACCCTGCTGCCTATTACCTGCGGGCCCGGCCAGTTAGCCTGTCCTTCCCACGGGCTTTACTGCTCATGGCTGGTACCACCTTGGGTTTACCTAGGTTCCCACTGTGAGCACCACCACCTGCAAGAAAAGATATGTGGATTAATTTGATTCAATTCAACAAACATTTATTAAGCTCTTACTGTGTACGAGGTACTATCAGGTGCCATGGATACAGATAAAAAAGATACAATTCTGCCATCAAAGAGCCATCCAACAAGTTGGAGGGGTATGATGTGTCCACAAATAAATATGCTACATAGTAAGATCTAATATAGCCAAAAGAAAGGTTCAGAAAAAATCCTCTAAGAAAACTTTAGAAGAGAGATGTCACTTTTAGTTGGGAGAAATCAAGGAAGGCTTTATGGAGGAAATAGCACACAACAGCAGTGTCAGGATCCTCGATTCACCAGCCCAGGGCTCAGTATTCTGTGTATCTTGTGCAGGAGCTAGAGAAACATAAGACCTTTGTTCCACCACCCCCATCTCTCCCAAATCTTCTGACCCTGCCTACCTCTTTCATCAGGGGGCAATGGCCGAGACTGAAACTTCCGGTAATTCCTGGGTCCTGTGGGAACAAATTGAACAGGAAATGACTTTGGAGACAGGGGATCCCAAGTGAGAATAATTATAATAGTAACTTACATGTATGCAATGCTTTAAGCTGGACAAAACACTTTCCTCACAACAGCCTTGTGAAAAAGGTAGTTCAAGTATCAATCTCATTTTGCAGGTTAATTTATTAAGCTTCTAGCATGTGCCAGGCACTGTGCTGAAATTAAGTGACTTGTTCACATCACAGAACTTGGAAATGTCAGACCTGAGATTGCAATCCACATCTTTTGACTCTGAGATCGGTGCTCACCCCATCATACCATGCAGTTCGGATTGGGAAGGTGTGATGGGCAGTCATTTTTCTAGGGCTCAGTACTTAAAGGGGGAAGCTAAGACCCACAAAGGAAACTTCCTTAAACTCTGAGGAAACCCCCAAACTACTCACCCACCATCGTGCCTTACCCATACTTCAAGCTTCTCTGCCTAAAATTGTCAGAAAATGTAAGAGGAAGGTAGAATGTAGGGATCTACTCACCCTTTTTGCTGCTACCCGCTGGCATGCCCAGATCCCTGGATTTGCTGGCATCCTGAAACCTGTGGAGAAATAAAAAAGAATTGAGTTTCCACCAATGTTCCTAGGCAGTCGGAAAGACAGGGTAGTTCAACAGGGACATCCTCTGCAGCCCAGACCTGTACTTCCCCAAAGTCAGGTAGAACAGAGAGACATGAGTGGAAGGACATGGGGCCTAGAAGATAAGATGCAAAATATGGTGCATGGAATATAGACCCCCAACAAAAGGTATAGGAGCCCCAAGGCAGCTCCAGGGATCCTGCCTCTGAGAATTTGTCACACCATCCCTTTAGGCAGAGCCCTTAGCCCACCCCAGCCACATGGTCACTGTCTTGCAATAATAGCACCTACGTATGCTTAGACTTGTCCAGATCCCAGGGGCGACGCCACTCTCCCTGAGCATCCCGGTGCCGTGCCAGGCGTGCAAGGTCAATCTGCTCCCTCTCTTGCTTCCATCGAGCATAATCTCTCCCTAACTCCTGGGTCCCTGAACCCATAGCCTGGGACAAGGGAGAGGAGGCAAAGGTTAGGTCTGGAACAAGGGGCTCCCAGAATCTTTGTAGGATGGAGAGTTGTGCCACCACCCCTTGGAAGGCTAGGAAGGACATGGAAAGGAAAGGTGCTTTTGCCACCCAGAGGTCATTCTTAGAACTGAGTTGTTCATCTGTAGCAGGATAAGCATGAATAGCAAGAATTTCCTCTTCACTTGTCTATCTCCATGTGCAAACCCAGTACAAATGCTGGGTTTTCCAGCTGCATGACAGACTCTGCCAGGCCATATTATACATGGCATTCTTGGTGACTCCTCTTGCCATAGCTGAAAACTCTTGGGGTACCTCAGGCAAATTCTCAGAGTCCCCCGCAGGTGGGCTACAAGCCTCTTTAGACCACATACAACTTTCCCTGCTGTCCCATCCCTCCTACCAGCCCCTAAATGCAGCTCCCAGTCCCTTGGAGCTTTGGAATCCTGGAACCTGGCTGGACCCTCTGCATCCTGGGAGACTTACCTTTTGTCCAGGTTCCATAGTGATTGCTATTTGCATGGGGCTTCCTAGGCTGGAGCCCCCTCTTGGAGGGTCTTGCTCCCCTTGGCTCCCAGCCTTGGTTGAGACAATCCGCTTGCCCTGGAAGTGTTGAGTGTAGTGAGAGAACAGAGAAGCCTTCAACTTGAAAGAGTGGGATGGACTACATCCCTCCCATTGCAGGAGAGGTTGGTCAGCCAGCAGCCTGGAGCTGGGAACTAGGTACCTGAGTTCTGATTGTGGCTGAGCAGCTGAGTAAGCAGTGGCTGGTCCCTATCTCTGTGACCCTCTTTCAGCTTACCCTTCCCCCCTTTCCCCTGCACTCAGGGGATTGTCTCACCTTGGCTTTGTTCTCCATGGTCACTGCCAGCTGGACCCGTTTCCCCAACCGAAAGGTAAAGGTGTGATCCTCCTCTTCCTCCTCATCCTCTTCTTCCTCCTGTTCCCCAAGCTCCTCCTCATTGTTCACTCCTGGGCCGAGGCTGTTGGGATGGCTGCTCATTCTCCTTTCACTCACCACTCGCTTCTCCTGAAGGGGATGGGTTCCTTAACCCTTCAGTATTCAGAATGAAAGCTAATTTGGAGCTCCATGGACAGAGTAGTGGTCTGGGACTTGGGATGCCTGGGTTCTCTGGTCTTGCTCATCTCCTACCCCCACCCCCATCTTCTTATGCCAGTAATGACTCTCTCTGGAAATCAGCAAACGACCATTATTGGAGCCGTGAAAGTCAGTCTACTCCACAATGAGGCTTGCATACCAGCAGCATTAGACTCTCTGGAGGCCCAGTGCCACCCAAGGGGGGCAGGGAAATGCCTTAGTGACCCTGTCACCCAAGAGCTGGGAAATCTTTGGAGAAGAGACAATGGGGCTTTGTCCCTTAACCCTGATTCCTCCTTTTTCTCTTCACAACTGGGTTTTTAACTCCTGGAGGTTTGAATGTGGCTACCCTAGATTTCAGAGGAAAAGAGTAAGGGTCATCTTCAGCAAAAAAAAAAAAAAAAATGATGGAGGACAGTGAGGAACAGGAGAGGAAGGGGACAATAGGTGCAAGGAGGTTGAAGAAGCTGTTTTTCGGGACCCCTAGCCATGGCCCAAGGAAAGAAAGAGGTCACAAACTCTGGGAATGTCTTCTTTCTCCTGGTGAGGAGCAGTCAGGAAGTATAAGAGGTTATGGGAACATAGGGTAGAGGAAAGGGAACAAGTATTTCTTAAGTGCCTACTGTATGCCAGACACTGATAACTGCTTCACAAATATTATGTCATTTGATCCTCACAATAACCCTGCGAGGTAGGTGCTATTATTATCCCCATTTTACAGTTGAGGAAACTGAGCTAGACAGATTAAGTGACTTGCTCAGGGTCACACATCTAATAAACATCTGAAATGGGATTTGAATTAAGGTCTTCCTAATTCCAAGCCCAGTGTTCCATTTTCTTAGACACCCAGCTGCCTCCATACTAGGCACTTAGTAAATGCTTATAGAATTGACTTGAATTTAATTAAGGGAAAGTTAAGTGGTTATGTGGGCACTTCCTGAGGCTAGTTGATGGGTTAGAGAAAGATGTCCTTGCCCTTAGACCTTTGAGGAATCAGGCAAAGCCACCCACAGGGACATGGACTGACTATCGCCTCCCACCCCATACCCACTCTCACATAGAGCCCAGTCTTACACTATGAGCCTTGGTAATGGTAATGGTGAGTCCATCTGTCCGAGGTGGCCGAGGAGCAGTCACGGCCATACCACCCTGCTCCGCCTGCCTCCGGTCTTCCTCAATCTCCTGTGTGATATTCCAAGAGTCAACACTCCTGGGCATCTCATAGACACAGGCTTCCACCCTTCTCCCTCAACTTCTTTGAAGAGACAACATATCCCAAATAAGTGAATGAATGAAAAAGTGCTTATTAAGCCTCTACTGTGTACCAAGCAGTGTGCTAAGCACTAGGGCTTCAAAGGAAAAGGCAAGACAATCTAAGACAGACATGAGAAGGCATAGCCACCAGCCACCACCAACCTAGAGACTGTATAAAGACACAGAGAGAGGTGCTAGCATGTACAGAGGTATCCAGCCTCAAACCACGACTAGACATATGAGTGTGGATACAAACAAATAAAGAGACCAAAGTAGGCAGATCAAGAAATACAGTCCCTGAGATAGAGGGACAGGTGTCTGGAGCTGATCAGACAGTCCCTGAGACAGGAATAGGTGTCTAGAGCCTACTAGACAGAGCTGCCAGCAGCCGTCGGGTTTGCCCTCATGGCCCGCCTTGGTCTCACGTCCTCTAGATAGCTCGCTCCCTTGGGTCCTTGTCTCTCCCCTCCCCCACATCCACCTCCCCTAATTTTCCTCCCCTCACCCCAGTCCCCCAGCCCCCTGCTGACCTGGTACCTGCGCAATAACGCTTGGTTCTTCCTTCTAAGTGCCACAATTCTCCTGTCCAGCTCTTCGTCCTTCTGCTCTTTCTTTCGAAGCAGGGAGTCAGCTACCCCAGCCCCCTGCAAAGCCCCATGGCTCAGCTCCGGTGCTGAGGGCGCCAGAGCTAGCCAGTCCCTGAGCTCGCCAGATTCTCCTGTTTCTCTCCTCCCTCTGCTCCTCTCACAACCTGCCAGCTCTCCCAACCTGGAACTGCCATGAATGTGCCAGTGCCCCATTGCCTTAGTTTCCCTCAGACTAAGGCCTCTCTCCTGGGCTGTCAAGAGCCAGAGCTGGATCACAGCAAGAAAGGGGAAGCAGGAGAGGTGACAGAGGTGATGGGCCCCACGGAGAGGCCGTTAGCATATCCCAACCACACTCCCAGTCCGGCCATGGCTGCTTGGATATTGAAGGGGGGAAGGACAGTGAAACATCTCTGTCTGTTTTGTTGTCAGGTGTCTGATGCCTCCTGAGGTCAGATGGGTAGAGGAATCCCTGTAGCCTCTAGTGAGGATCTTACCCAAGCTCCTCTGAACCCCCAGTGCAGCCCCGAGGAACCACCCCATTCCCTCTCCCTACAAAGCTTCCTCCCCTGCCCTTCCCCCTCTGAGTTCTCCAGGGAGCAAGGCTGCTGAGCCTGGAAGGGGAGTTATAAATGGCTCTGTCTCTGGCAACAGGAACCTGCCGGAGCTGGGAAACAACCAGGGGATTCAAGAGGTTGGATGGGGTGGGTTATTTCCATCCCAATCCCAGAACCCCAAGGAGAAAGAAGCAACCAAGTCACTTATCCCAGGCTCCTGAGACTCCTCAGCCCCCCTGCACCCCAGGTCTGTGCTCCTGCCGATCCAACCAATAAGGCATTGGCAGGAGCAGATCCCACAGGCCCTTTCCCTTTAGTGCCCTTTACTACCAGCTGTCTGGACAGTAAGGCTTGAGCCAGCCAGGCAGACAGGGTGGGGGTGGGGAGGCTGTAGTAGGCCCTCCTTCTCTCTATAGGAGTTGCTTTCCCACTCCCAACATCCTTAGAGAGGATTTGAAGCCTCCCTCTTCCTGTCCGGCTCCCCCACTTTTCCTAGTGCCAAAGGCCCCAAGTCCCAACATACACCCCAGCCACTGCTGTGACCACCTGGTAGAAGCTTCCTCCCCACCCCACCCTCACTCCCAGCTATGTCTATCTGTCTGCCCACAACAGCAAATCTCCCTATTTGGAAAGGGAGAGGTCATTTTAGCAGGCCAATCAGCTCCTCCCCCACACCATCGAAGACCCCAGTCCCATTCCCTGGCTAACAGCAAAGGGACCACTCACAGCCGGGTACATAGCAGTAGCAGCAGCAGCAGCAGCGGCCGGCACAGAGAGGATTTCAGAGCAGCTCCCAGGGGAAGCCGGAGCCAACAGAGGAGAACTGGACCTGGGGCCTCTGCCGGCCTCTCCCAGCCAGCTCTGCTGCTTCGCACACGAGATCATGTTGTGATTACAAGAGAGTGCTCTGGGCTCTCGGCCAAGCGTGCCTCAGCGGCGCCACACCAGTCCCACCCACCCATCCAAACACACACACATACACACATACAGCCGGTGAGAATCGAGGACACGGGCCAGCCCATCCAAGCTTGGGCCTCTGCTCACCGACATTCCCATCCTCTATCCCCGTCAGGGGGTGGGGGTAGAAGGCAAGACAGCAGCCGTGGTCTGTTGGGTCAGAGGTGGGTGCCGATGCTTGCCAGGTTCCATATTATTATTTTTTTTCCTTCCCGAGAATCCAACCTGGCAAAGAAATACAGAACTCGGAAGTCTTTCTCCGACCTCCCAACCTTTCAGCTGCCCCCACCTTTCCCACCCTGTAGATTTTTTGCTCTGCAGGAACCTACTCTGGTCCATTACTTAGCCACTGTAGAATCCTCCAGCACTCAACACTGATGAATCTGTGATCTCATCAATGGGAGTATTCCTTTAAACAAAGCAGTGCACAATTCATTGGTACCTGCCCATCCTATGCAACCCTCAGCCATATTCTGTCATAAATTAGCTGGGGAGGGGAAGAAAAAAATGGGAGGGATGCGACTTCAGAGTGCATATGGAAGTTAAAAATTTGGGCCTCTGTTCTTGGGAGAAGCTCTAAGTCTTTGAAAAAACAAAGTTCACAAAGGCTACCCAACCCACTCTTGTCTTGTTCAATCAGTCAACAGGCATTCATTAAGTTTCTCCTGTGGGCCAGGCACTGTGCTAGGCACTGTAAATACAAGTACAAAGAATGAAACAATACTTGCTAGCACGTAGCTTGTGTTCTGATGGAGACGAGAAGTACATGTAAAAATAAATGAATCATAAATAGAACCGGAATAAATACAAACATATACAAATATACACAAGGGAGGTTGGGACAGAGAGCATTAGCAGTTGGGATATTAGGCTTCAGTTCTAGGCTAAGTTCATTGTCCTTTTCAGTGCCTGTCCAAGATATAGGAAGGAAGGATACCAGCATTTATTAAATGCCTACTGTATGCCAGGCAATGTGTTAAGAGCTTTACAAATCTTATCTCATTTGATCTTCACAACAACCCTAGGAATTAAGTGCTATTATTACCCCATTTTATAGTTAGGGGAACTGAGGTAGATGGTAGCTAAATGACTTACTTGGGATCACACAGCTGGTAAGTGGGATCTAAAAGGAGATTTGAACTCAGCTCTTCCTGACTCCATGCCCAGCGCTCTTATCCACTTAACTGCCTCTCAATATAGATGCCAATGGATGAACTCTATAGGCTGCCTGTCCAAATGTATGTGATAGTCTCCAGGGGTGGGGAACCTGCAGCCTCAAGGCCACATGTGGCCCTCTAGGTCCTCAAATGGGGCCCTTTGACCAAATCCAAACTTCACAGAACAAATCCCCTTAATAAAAGGATTTGTTCTGTCAAATGGACTCTGTCAAAAGGCCATATCCAAGGACCTAGAAAGCCACATGTGGCCTGGAGACTGCAGGTTCCCCACCCCTGGTAGATAATAGACATTCTTCATCCGCCTACTTTTTCCTGTGTGGATAGTTAGAACTACTTGAGGGGTGATCATGAATCTCATTTAAGAGTTTCTGCACTGTTTCTTGGCTTGATTTTAAGAATATGGATAGAAATAGGACACTGGACCTGTGATTTCATTGGTTTAGGGAACTCCCAGGTGAGGAAACACCTTCTACAATACAAGACAGAACTTTCTTTGCAACTTATAATCTTAGAACACTGAGAGGTTTTGGGTCCAGGGGGTTATATAGTCAGTAAGTGTCAGAGGCAGGATTTGAACCTGAGTCTTTGTGGCTTCTAGGCCAACTCTTTCTTCATTAGGCCATACCACCCATTATAATGATAGCTCACATTTATATAAGGGTTCAAAAGCAGTGAGAGCTATTTTTTATTTTTCCTTATTGCATGGATTTCCATGGTCAGAGAATTCATTGCCAAGTGACTGGTATACTCTTGTTGAACTTCCCTGAATTTAGCAAGTTTGGTTCTCAGAAAGGAGACATAGCCTTCTACTGGTACCATACTTAAAGACTTTTTGTCATGGCAGAACCTGCTAGAAGTTGTGTTCCACAGTCTTTGAGAACTCAGGGTCACCTGATGCCATAATGAAGCATCATGCCATCATGATGATGGTGATGAAGCATCAAAATAGGACTTTGTGAAGGCTTAGGACCCTAGAATCATAGAATCATGTGGTGTCAGAAGGGTCCTCAAAAGTCACCTAGTCTGATCTATGTCTGAATAGGAAATCCTCTCTAACATCCCTAAGAGTGGTCCCCTAGTTCCCCTTAAAGACCTTCAGCGCCTCGAGGCAACACATTCCCTTCCCCTGGCTGAAGCAGCTGTCCATATCCCACCAGACTCCTGAGAGCCAAGCAAGAGCAGGCTGAGGAGAGCCCTTCCCCTGCAATGACCCTATTACCCAGTTCCCAGCAAGCTCTGGAAGCTCCTTGATAGCTAGGAGTCAATCCCCCCCCCCCCCAGTCTACTCCAACCCTTGGAACCACTGCCCTTTTCCCAACAATCACTGCTTAGGGACATGGTCTCTTACACACTTGAATGAACAGAGTTGGTTGGTTATTGCCGTCCCTCATGCTCAGAGAGAACCAAAATGATATTATCTCGTCAAGGTCAAGGTACAGTGTGTCCAACCGTGGCTGCTCTGGCCAACACAGGCTCAGAAGGCTCTACCACCGGCTGGGCACAAATAGTCCACATGAACATTAAAAGGAGAGATGTCCCTCCATTTCTGCATCTCACGTTTCTTTTGAGCTAATGCAGTTCTGCTTTGCTTGTAGAGCACAGGGACTTCTTTGGTTCAGGCATGCAATGCTGGGCATTACTGTGCCAGTGTCTCCCATGTCTTGCAACTAATTCCAAAGTTCTTCAGAGGGACCCTGAGAATTTTCTTGTACCTCTTCTTCCGACCTCTGTTAGAGTGCTTTCCTTGTGTGAGTTCTCCATAAAATAGTCTTTTAGGCAAACAAACACACATTTGGCATTCAAACAATGTAGCCAACCCATCAGGATTCAGTTCTTTGCAGTAGAGTTTGAACACTTGGCAGTTCAGCTTGAGAAAAGGACCCAAACTGGGCATTTTTGTATTTGATCCTGGAGGCAACAGGGTTGACATCTGACCTATTGCTGCCCCCTAAGGCTACCTGGGCCTTGTCATCCTCCCTGCCAGAAAGGAGCACTAGGCATTTTGCAGCCAAAGGCTTCTTCATTCCTAAATCTCCCCTAATTAGAATGCAAGCTCCCTGAGAGGAGGGATTATCTTGCTTTTCTATTCCTATCCTCAGCACTTAGCATTGTGTCTGGCACACGGTCAGCAATTAATAAACGCTTTCTCTTTCACTTCCTACCTAAATCTTCTCCAGTAATCATCCATCCTGCCTGATGTAGGCAGTACAGACAGCTTGGGAGTCTCCGGCTTTCCTCTTTTCTCCCTTAAGAGCCAAAAGATAGACCCAAGTATGTATTCTGCCTTTTTTGCATTAGTCTGAGCTCTTCCCCCACCTGTTCCTGCCCTTTCTCTTCATTGAACTGGCCCTTACTTATAGGGGGATCAAGAAGTTCCACCCATGCCTCAGAAAAAAATATATATTATATATACATATATATATATAGTCCCCATTGATGCCTAAATTCTACTGTTAATCATTCATTCCTCTGGATTGAATGTTTTCTTCTCAAGGGTCCTTTAAAAATGCATCCATTTAGGGCAGCTAGGTGGCTCAGTGAATAGAGCTCTGGCCTGGGAGTCAAGAGGACCTGAGTTCAAATGTGGCCTCAGACATTTGACACTTACTAGCTGTGTGACCATGGACAAATCACTTAACCCCAATTGCCTAAGCAAAAAAAAAAAAAAAAAAAGCATCCATTCTAAGAGAGATAACACATTAAACCCCTAACCCTTAGCATCATAGAATGTCAAGGCAGAAGGGACCTTAAAAGAAAATATTATCTAACACATTCCTTTTAAAAATGAGGAAAAGCCGAAACCTAGAAAAGGGAAATTGTTTCTCTAAGTAACAGGGATGATTAGCAGCAGAATCAACCTTAGAACTGAGGGACAATATTCTTTACACTAACACACTGAAAGCTTAGGATAAATGAGTTTGTTTCAAGGCTAAAGGCCACCACTCAGCCCTGGGCCTCCTTCTGAGGCTTGTTCATTGAATTTTTTAAAAAAAATTTTCAGCTACAAAAAGCAGTTATTTTAATTACCTGTGCGGTAGTCCACAGAATGCTAATATAAAAACTATTAATAGGATAACAACTTGTTCCAGGATAGTTTCCACCAGAATTCCAACAAATAAGAAGAGAATATTTATTTTATATTATAATAATAATACCTGTCATTTACATAGTGCTTTAAAATTTCCAAAGAGTTTTATATACATGTTCTCATTTTATACCTCCAAGAATCTTCTGAAATAGCTACTTCTGGCATTATTATATCCATTTTACAGGTAAGAAAACTAAGACTCAGTGTGATTAAGCAACTTGCCTAGGGTCACTGCTTTTCATAGGTGAATTTAAAATTTAAATACAACAAGGCAACAGCTGCTTAGCCCAGTGGGGCTGGAGCTTTCAGCTGTGTCTTTCTCCACTTAAGGATTCTTCTCAGCTCTGGGCTCAAGCACAAGAACTAAAAGAATGGTCAGACTCTTTCTTGTACTCTTTGGCTCTTCATCACCCCACCTCAGAACTCTGGGGAAATTACTTAAAGATTAGGTTTTGCTCATGTCTGGGGCTTCGCAAAGGTGGGGTATAGAAACATATTCAGGGTACAGTGTAGATAAGCACAGGACAGCTATTTATTTCTTCTATTTGTTGTCGTTGTTCAGTTGTTTCAGTACTGTCTGACTCCTTGTGACCCCTTTTTGGGGGTTTTCTTGGCCAAGATACTGCAGTGGTTTGCCATTTCCTTCTTTAGCTCGTTTTTTA